CTAGACCCTATAAATATTATGGAAGTGTCCAATTGTTTACTTCCACTTTTCATTTTTACTTATGCCTACAATGACTAAAGCATTTCTTTAGCAGAAAACTGAGTTTTCGAAATTATCCACCCTGGCCGGAGTTTTTAGAAATCTCCGTTTTCAGTGACCGAAAACGCCGTTTACGTGTGGACAAAAGGTGCAAACGCATAGAAAAATCTGTGTTTTCAAAAATACCCGGGTACGTGTGGACGTAGCCTCAGTTAGACGTTATGTGAACATAATGAATAAAATAAATTTCCAGTTTCAGAAGAGGTTTGGCTTCTTTTTCTTCTAAATTCAAATTCCCAAAGCCTTCAAAGCAAAGCAAAAGAGAGGTTTTCTCAAAGTATTTACACTTCATCACAAACAGGTTTTTAGGTGTGAAGTGGATGGTCTGTAGGTGTCACAGTGACTCACTGCTCTCTGAGTGTCTCTTTGCTCTTCTCTTACTTGAGCTCTGAAGCCCGGAAGATGCCAGCAGATCTTCACAGCCACGTTGTAAATGGGTGTGTTGAACAACACCTGTCAAAGAAATAAAATATTACTCATTGTTACTTAAGTCTATTCTCAGTTTGTCAGCTTTTTGCAGAGTTACAAATGCAGGATTTACAGGAGTTAGGAGGGTTAAGAGAATTGAATTCAGTTGACTGCAATCTACTGGCATCTAATGGTGACATTGTAACTTTAGTGGTACCTGAAAAAGGGCCAGGCGCTGCACTGCTTCAGCCTGAGCCTGTGCAGTCAGCACACACAGCCTGTGTGTCTAATATGTGAATAAAAATCAATGAAAGTTTTCCTCCCTTTTCCAATCAAAAGCTCCCAGTAGAGTTTTTGACCTTCAGCACCATGGAGCTTTTAATTTGTTTATTGTGAAGCAGTGGGCCAGAGCTACACTCTGATTCACTGTTTCACATCTTGTGCTACGCGCACTGAGCGTTACTAATAGCTTTTGCTTTGGTGTATTTTGGACTTTTCAATAATAGAGCCATTGATGAAATGTTCCCAAGTGTGGGAATATTTACAGTTGGTGCTACAGAATTAGTTTATTCTCCATATTTATTCAAATATAATATACTCATGGTGGCATATTATTCAAGAGTTGCCTTCCTACTCACTGGGAAATAAAAATGGGAAGATGGTAAGATGAATATTGGGAAATGAGATAAAGGAATGTGGGTGAAAACAATGAACTGACGACATCAGTGCAGGGTTTGTATATAAACACATCACAACATAGTCATATGTACTGCCTCATTGCATTATGCAATATCCTCCATGTCAATTATGTAATTTACAATCAATGACTATATTTTTTATGTTTTTAATTATTATTTTATAGATGGAATTACTCAGGCAGATGTCTTTAGTGCTGGGTATAGACAACAAAGACCTATCAAATGAAGTCAGATTTGGCTGTGCAACAACCACTGTTGCCAGCAGATGTCCACCATGAGTGCAATGAATGAAGCTTGGGGTAGTTGGCCAGTTTTTAACACAGTTGTAGAAAAAAGGATCAGAGCTTCATAAGCCTTGTTTTGCCATCCCTGCTGTTAATGCTTCCTGTCAGTTTGCTCTAACCTCTGTTTCTGTGCAGACCTCACCTCCAGTAAGTGTGTGTGTGTGTGTGTGTGTGTGTGTGTGTGTGTGTGTGTTTTCAGACAGTTTTTTTCTCTGCACTTTTAGCAAC